GGTATTTCCTTTCAGATAGCTTACTCATCCACAAATTGTGCAACCAGAGTTTGTTATAGACTTATCACAGATGAAGGACTCTTTAATATGAACCAGATTTTGCTAAATTGCAACTTTAATTTTGTATACAATGATAGTTTGGATATTAATTTAAAATTTAAAATGCTAATTGATGTGTTATTACATTCCTTAAATATCTTTTTTCCAGAAAAATCTAAATTGCTAAATAAAAATATTCCAGGTAAAAAAGTAAACTGGTTCAATGACACTTTGAGAAAAATGCGTGAGATACTTAAATTTATTATAGCAATAAATAGAAACGATCCCATTGCTGCACCTAGAAGTACCATTATCAAACTTAGAAAAGAGTACAGGGAAGCCATCAAGCTTGCAAAAATTAATGCAAATGATAGGTTTATAAAAAATTCTGGCAACTCTCAACAAGCTATGTGCAAACTTATTAATGGTAACAAACATAAAAATGTTTTCTTCACTGATAATTCTAAACTCAATGCAGATAGTTTTAATAGCCACTTCTGCTCAACTGCTGAGAGAGTAATAAATGAGCTTGAGGTTCCTCAGCTAACTCTTGATGACTATTTAAAGTATATACCACAAAAAAATATTCCATGTTTTAGTTTTCAGCCAGTGAACTTTAGTGAAGTTGCCTTAGCTATTACAGAAATAAAAAATAGTAACAGCAAAGATCCTGATGGGTTTAACACAAAAATTATTAAAACAATTAAAGATATAATTGTTCAACCTCTAACAACTTTAATAAATCAATCAATATTTTGTAATACTTATCCTCAAGTTTTCAAAACTGCAAAGGTAGTACCTCTGTTTAAGAATAAAGGCTCTATTTATGATTATAACAATTATCGACCCATTTCTTTGTTGCCAATCTTATCAAAAGTTTATGAACGAATTTTAAAAAATCAAATTAATCTACATTTTTAATCTAATAAACTGTTTGCCATAAACCAGTACGGATGTTTTGGAAGGGTTTGAGAAATATCTTGATACTCTTGCATCGTTTTTAGATCTTACTAAGGCTTTCGATTGTGTCACACATAGTATTCTGCTTAGAAAACTTCCTTATTATAATTTTCATAGTGATGCTATTCAACTAATTGATTTATATCTATCAAATCGTGATCAATATGTTCACTTCAACCAGTGTGATTCTCAAAAACAATCTTTGTTGTTTGGTTACCCTCAAGGCTCGGTTTTGGGTCCAGTATTATTTCTTATCTATATTAATGATCTAGTGTACTCTCAAAATGAAACAGTCAACACTGTTTTATTTGCTGATGATACTACTTTCTATGCAAGCTATCATCCTTCTGAATTCGACACCCTTGATTACCAAACATCTGAAAAAAACTTATTCAATTGGTTTTTAACTAACCGTCTCTCTTTGAACAACTCTAAATCACAAAGTGTTAATTTTACTCTAAGAAATAACACTTGTGTCGAAAACGTTGCTCTACCACAATGTGTAACCGGAGCGAAATTTCTGGGGATATATTTGGATGCAGGATTAACCTGGGAACAACATATAGTTAATCTCGACAACTTTCAGGAACCTTGTACAAGTGACTTCCAGGGAAACTATTTTAACAGCTTATCATAGTAATTTTCATTCTTATCTGACATATGCTATTCTCTCCTGGGGTCACTCTTGTCATATCGATAAAGTATTTGCACAACAAAGAAAGTGTGTTCTTATTATCTCTGGGCTCTCTTATAGAGCAGACTGTAGAAACTCCTTTAGAGTTTTAAAAATTTTAACTTTACCTTGTGTATACATTATGCAGTGTCTGTTGCACATTAAAAAAAATCTTATCCAATAAAATGCGCATGTATATTTTCAGCTATAAAATTCTACAACTTAGTGCCAGCTAGAATAAAGGCTCTTAATTTTTATCAGTTTTTTATGGCAAAAATTAAGAATTACCTTATAGTGGAGGAGTATTTTACTTCCAATTTTAATTTGTTGTAATTGTTAACAGTATAATTTAAAACAATGTATCTATGTTTTGTGTTTATATTTATGTATGCATATTAACTATATTGACATTTACTTTATTTTATTTGACTTGTAAAAAATACTTATGTATTAATTTATTACCAATAAACCATCCATCTATCTACTATTACTTATTATCTAAATTAACGATTCTAGATATTTATTTGTGTAAATTCTTTATTTGTTTTTCATCTATTGTTAAGGTGTCTGTCTCGACGTTGCTTGTGATTACCTTGCAGCGTTTTTGTGCTGAACATTCAGCTATTAGGGTAGTGTCTTCTGCAAATCGTATATAGTTATTGGGTCGACCATTTATTTTTATGTACCTCACGTTAGTTCTTCCAGAGCTTCTTTGATTATTTTTTGTGAATACATATTGAACAGGATAGGGATGATATACAATCAAGTCTGACACTTCTTTTAAGCTCTATATATATATATATATATATATATATATATATATATATATATATATATATATATATACACAGGGTGTTTCAAAAAAAGGTAACCCCGTCTCTAGGGTAGGTAAAAAACTGAAAAATAATTTGGGTTTGCTTAGTAAAAAATTTTTGTAACGCCATCCGTTTTCAAGATACAGGGCGTTAAAGAAAAAAAAATTTACGCATTTTTTACGATTTTGCCAAAACTACTGGCAACATTGTAATGAAATTTTATACGAATATGTTTTGGAAGCTGATACATCCCATGAATTTGTTTTTATATCTGATTCTCATAGAGGGCGCTAGTTACACGGATCGTACTAAGTATTAGTCAATATAACTTTTTTAAGAGTATAATTATTAATCAAAATTTTAAGTAAACTTAAACATCATTCAATTTTACACGAAAAAGGTACTCTTGGTAAAACTCGATACTGTGTACCGTTTTCGGAATATTTTGATTTGAAAATTCTGAAGTAATAATTGATGCTGGTAGTAATGATAAAATTCTAATAGGTATACCTCTATTTTCTCCAAGTGTGCCATGGAGATCTGACATTTATTGATTGTTATGACGATAAATCAACAATAATTAGAGTTTTGAAACCTTGTTATTTGTAAAATCAAATCAAAATGTACTCAAATGTTGAATACACTGACATGTTATTAACCTTAGGCGGATGTTTAGGATGTTCTAGTGTAGCTGTGACACGCTATGCAGAAAAGTTTCCTAGAAGAAACTTACCAAGTAAAAAAACATTTAGAGCCGTTGAACGACGTTGTCGAGAAACTGGGAATGTGAAACTAAATAAAATAAATTCTGGTAAACCAAGAACAACAAGACCAATTAATAAAGAAAATAATATTTTAAATTTACTTGATCAAGATCCAACAGTTAGCGTAAGAATATAGCAAGACAAACAAATACTTCTTCTTCAAGTACTTGGCGGATACTGAAAGAACAGCAATTACATCCTTATCATTATAGACAAGTCCAAGAGCTCTTGCCAGATGATCTACCGGTTAGAGTGGATTTTTGTGAAACATTGCAACAAAGGGCAGCCCACAATCCAAATTTTTTAAAAAGCATTCTTTTTACGGACGAAGCCACCTTTACGCGACAAGGTATGTTTAACTCCATAATGCACACTACTGGTGTGATGAAAATCCACGAGTCAAAAGGGTATCATATTACACTCATTTAAAGTTAATGTTTGGGCAGCAACTTTAGGTAACAAATTAATAGGTTATCATATTCTACCTGTAAATTTAAATGGTGATATGTATCTTGATATTTTAAACAATTCCTTATTCGAGATATTAGAAGATTTAACGCTAAACGAGCGAATATCTTTATTTTTTACGCACGATAGAGCTCCACCACACTTTGATAGAAGGTATCGTAATTGGTTGAGTAATCATTTTCCGAATCAATGGATTGGTATATGTGCAGAAGCTCCGATTCATTGGCCTCCTCGGTCATGCGATTTTAACCCTTTGGACTACGCAGTTTGGTCGTATATTAAGGAAAATGTCTATGCTACAGAGGTAAATTTACGCCAAGAATTGGAAGAAAGAATTCAACGTCAATTTAATGACATCATAGCTGATCCCCTACCGTTTAGAAGGTTAATGGAATCTTTAGAAAAAAGAATAGTCTTGTGTATTCGCGAAAATGGAGGGCATTTTGAACACTTACTCTAATTGAATTTTATTTTATGTTCTTAGTCATTAATTTAATTTTCTTCTTGTGAGTTTTGTTTAATTACTAACTATTTTATACCAGCATCAATTATTACTTCATAATTTTCAAATCAAAATATTCCGAAAACGGTACACAGTATCGAGTTTTACCAAGAGTACCTTTTTCGTGTAAAATTGAATGATGTTTAAGTTTACTTGAAATTTTGATTAATAATTATACTCTTAAAAAAGTTATATTGACTAATACTTAGTACGATCCGTGTAACTAGCGCCCTCTATGAGAATCAGATATAAAAACAAATTGATGGGATGTATCAGCTTCCAAAACATATTCGTATAAAATTTCATTACAATGTTGCCAGAAGTTTCGGTAAAATCGTAAAAAATGCGTAAAATTTTTTTTTCTTCAACGCCCTGTATCTTGAAAATGAATGGCGTTACAAAAATTTTTTACTAAGCAAACCCCAATTATTTTTCAGTTTTTTACCTACCCTAGAGACGGGGTTGACTTTTTTGAAACACCCTGTATATATATATATATAAATATATATATATATAAATATATATATATATATATATATATATAAATATATATATATATATATATATATATAAATATATATATATATATATATAAATATATATATATATATATATATATATATATATATATATATATATATATATATATATATATATATATATATCAGCTTTAATTGATGTTATAGAATTTTTGTATCTCTTGTTGACGAGGATTTTATAATCTTGAGTTTTTCTTGCGATAATATATAATTTACTTATCTTTTTGTTTTCTTTTTTAGGGAGACTACATAAGACATCCCGTCATATACGATTTATCCCACAAGTATGGCTTGCCGACGGACAGTTTCAACGAGTCTCAGCTGCCGAATAAACTTGAGGAGCTCAAGGAGATTATCAGGCGCGAGATTCGGAAGGAATTGAAGATTAAGGAAGGTGCCGAGAAGTTGAGAGGAGTGTCAACCGATCGGAAGTCGCTCAGTCATGTTGCGACCATAGTCAAAAACTCCAATTTCAAATTAACCGAGTTGAAAAATGAGCTCAGTGAGCTGGAATCGCAGATTATTCTGTCTCAGGGTCAGAGTACGCCATCGTTAATACCTTCCAATGGAGGTGAGTCGGATCTAATTAAACTAATAAGTGTTAATAATTATTATATGCTATAGTTTATTTTTATGAACGAGAGAGTAATTAGCATAATTTTAACTGGTACCTCCGACCACTCCATGGGCGTGCTCAAGATTAATTGAAAAATTACTTTGAATAATTGTAAAAAATAAATTAATTATTTCAGTGTTATAAAGTGTTATGTGTATGTAAACAAAAGTGACCTCTTTTATCACACACTATATTAGAACTGACTGGCCTACATTAAAAAGGGTTTTAAAAAATTCACATTTTTTTAAATTTTTAAAAATTACAAAAGAGAAAAAGAGTTTTTAAAACCGTCTAAGGTATGTTAAATAGATGAATAAAAATATTAATATAAAACTTACAGCTACTTGTTACAAATCCAAATCAGATTCAGAAGATGAACTTTCAGAACCAAGATTTATAATAACTGGCTCGATCATTTTATCAGTAATATTGTCCAGCTTCCACATTTTTTCCTCTTCTTTAATAGTGTGATTTACTGCCTTTTCCCAGTTTTCAGGTTTTACATTATTTAAGGTTTCCAAAAACAACTGTTTAACATCATGAATTTTAAAAGTGGTTTTTTTCCTTGAAACTTCACTCTTTATCTGTGCCTATACCAGTTCAATCGGGTTTAATTCACAATGATATGGTGGGGATCTAAGTACTGTCATTCCACGATTTTTGGCAATTTCATCAATTTCGTATTTTTTAAATTTTTCTTTATGAAGGGCACACAACGAATAAAGTTCCTTTCTTATAGATCCGGGATGGTACGTAATATTTTTTGAACTCAGCCAATTCTGCAAGTCTTTTTTTAACCACTTGGTTGTGAGCAGTCCTTCTATAAGTCTGGAGTGATAACTTGCATTATCCATTACTATTACACAGTTCTTAGGAAGAAGATCTATCATTTGTTCGAACCATTCTTGAAAGACATCAGCGTTCATGTCTTCATGGTAGTCACCGGTACGAGTTGATTCAAAAGTTAATAAACCACCTTCAACAAAACCGTCTGAACTGCCAATGTGTACTATTATCAGCCTGCGTCCCTTTCCTGATGGTGGGTTTAAACCAGTAGATAAGTTATTTACAAAAGCGTGCCTTTGACTTGTAACAGTTTCATCCTGCAAAAATTTATTTGGTGTATGACCCTCGTTGATCCATGTTTCATCAAGATAAAATATTTTTCTTTTTTGGTTTCTCATTTCCTTTATGGTTCTTAGAAAATGTCTTCTCCATATGACAATATCGCTTCTTTCTAATAAAATAGACTTTCTGGGATTCTTTTTCCAGCGGAAGCCTATTTGTTTTAAAAGTTTCCATAGCGTATTTCGACTCATTTCTGGGTAATCCTTATCATCTCGAACTGAGACAAGAAGTTTATCCAATGTTGGAAATTCTTGTCTAAAGAAGAATTCATGCACTTTCCGTCGAAGTCCTTCTTTAAAATGATATTCTATTTGAAATTTTGGTTTCCCTGGAGCATTACGTGGCATTTGAAAACTACCACATTTCTCTTCTTTAATAACTCTGTAAATCGTAGATTTCCCAACACCAAGTGTACTGCTAACTAACTCAACGGTCTCATCAACACTTTCACATAAACGTTTGTCTGTAAATGGTTTAAAACAATTAAATATTAATGTTTTTTCATTAACTGTTAAAGGACCAATTTTTCGGCGTTTACACGGCACTTCCAAATTTTCCATAACACTAGTATACACAATAAACTGCACCTTGCAACTGAAGTACCTACTTTTAGTGAACTGTTAAGAATTTTGAATACGCCACTTGGACCTTCCTACAAAATGGAAAAACCCACTATCACATTTTCTATGGAATAAGTTTAGAAGGTAATTATCTAGTCAATTACTGTCGTAGATTCCTGGATTCTACGACAAGAATTAAATTAGAATTAAATGTTTGATTGTTGAAACCCTTACTTCGTGGAATGCACTCATTTCAGATAAAATAAAACGTTTTATTTTATCTAAAGAATTAAACTTTATTTTGCAAATAGGTAGGTACTTATTAAACTTTCATTGGTTATATATAACCAATAAAATAAACATCTTACATTTCTTGCAAATTCATTAGTACCTGTTAACCTCCATCACTCCGACACTGGCAACCTTATTTAGGAATTAGTAACCCTCACAACTATTGTATTCTATTCTGCTCCAACCTTTATACCTGGTGGTCATACTCAATTTAAAATTGTTTTCTTATATACTTCTGTAAACTTGTTGACAAATATCTGTTTTTCATTGAGTCACCCGTATCAACAGTTTAGGGATTTGCATACATAATTTATTGTTTTATTACTCTCTCATACATAAAAATACACTATAGGATATAATCACGTCTAGCATTAACGTCTAACATACCGGGTGGTGAATTGTCAGATGGGCCATAGAAAACTCAATGGAAATTTCAAACTGTTCAATTCCTGCTTCCCTGATTATTTTACATCAAAAGTCGAGAAACTATTTGTAGAGAACTGAAAATCTGTATGGAAAACAGATGTTAACATTGTTCTAAGAATTAAACACATTCCAAAATTTTGCAAAAAATACAATACATTGGGGTGGCCAGTCCTATACGACTTAATAGACATAGTTTTTTCTCCGTAAAAATATACAGGGCCATTAACATTACAATTTAAAAATAATGTAAATTGTACAGGGTGCTCCAAAAAGAGTGGTATATTAAAGTTCTATTTTTTCTGGTCTATGGAATACCCTATATTTTATGACATTTTAAAATTTTCCTTCAGTCGTTAATTTGTGGCATAACCTTTTTTTTTTCATAACTTCAATATGCTGATGTTGGTTCATCATTCCTTTCACAATGTACAGCTTCCATGTGCCCTCGCTACTGATTACAGACTATACCATGACCTTAAGAGGATGCTTTAATGTGTTAATAAAAAAATATAAGATTTTTTTTAGAATAAAAACAGTGGTTATTCGCTTTGTGCGTGACCATGGTAGCTAGTTACGGTACTTGAAACGATGGCAGCGTGCGTAGCGGCGAAATCTGACAAAATTGGACCTATCTTTTAACGCATAAATTTTATCAAAGATGGGTGCAAATACATTTTGCGTATTTATTTGTGCTAATAATAGCAAAAATAGTGTAGTTTTTATAGGTTTCCAAAGATTACATATAAATTAGAGAAAAGAAAACGATGGATTCGTACTATTAATATGAAAAAGTAAATATATAATTTCATTTTGATTGAAATTGAAATAGGAAAAATTGAAATAATTTACCTTAAATGCTATTTCATAAGGTTTCAAGCTAACTGCAGCCTGCCTGATGACTTTAGCTTTTATATCATAACTTTTACTATTATTGTTTTTAATTACATGTTCTTCCACATGAAAAACTTGATTTTCCAGTACTAGATTCTTACCTTTTTTCGCCGTTTTGGCTGAAAAGATAAATTGTGGGGACTTTTTAAAAACTCAGTTTTTAATACTACATTTATTTTGTACATAAACTGAAAAAATATAATTAGAAAACTAATTATTAATAATTATTGTCAATTTCGTATGTATTTAACATATGTTTAACCTCAAATTAGGAGGTCCAAAACTGTCATATAAAGGCAATAGGTGTCGCGTCAGTCACGCACGGAGCGAATAGGGATTTAAACTTTGGTAGTGATGTAGTTTGCCCTAAATTCTCAATTGTCTCATTTTGGTGTTCTTTGGCTCATTGCCGTCCCATTTTCATCATTGCGACGGTTAACTTTGATTTTCTGGCATAGCGACATTATTTGAAACCTTACTCAGCAAGCCTTCTGCGGATTGTCATGTCAGAAACTGGCATCCCAGCTTTACGAATAAGTCCCATGAGGTTTTTTCGTGGTTTCTTTCTGTTGTTTACGAATATATCTCGCATTTTTCTCTCGTCTCTGGGTGGAGTGAAACGCTTTCGACCACATTTTTGGGCACGTTGATGAGTCAGGGGTTTGTTGGTATCGATTATTTTTCTTGATATTGCTCACTGTTGCTTGCCCTACTTGGCGCTGTTGAGCTACTCGACGTTGGGAAAGCTTTGTATTCGATAAACGGGTCTTTATTTCCACTATTTTCGTTTCAGGGATGTCTCTAGCCTTACCCATTATAATTTTATTCTCATAAATCGATATTTTTTAAAAATGTCTTTAAAATTAAAACTGATAGTTTTTTTTTTACTCACAATCACCACTAATACATTATTAAAACATACTACATAGTAAAACGATATTAATCTTTCAAAAACAAAATGAAAACAGACAGATTTGATTCTAACCTCCAAGCGCAAATTCGCCACAATGTGTATATTATGACATAATTTGACACTAATGACAGTTTTAGAGCTGGCAACGTTAAAAAAGTAAAGTTTTTAGTGATAAAACATATTGGCATGTCTTAATTGTCTAGCAGCATATGATTTTACTATAAAACTTTCGAACAAATGTGAAATACTTTTTACTAATTTTTGCGACTGATCGTAATAAATTGATCTATAAGCAATAAGCGAAACTCTCTATCTATTTATCTCCCCTCTCTATCTCTCTCTCTCTTACTCCCTTCCTCCATTTCTCTCACTACTCCTATCCGCCTCTCTCTCTCATATGATTTTACTATAAAACTTTCGAACAAATGTGAAATACTTTTTACTAATTTTGCAACTGATCTTAATAAATTGATCTATAAACAATAAGCGAAACTCTATCTATTTATCTCCCCTTCTCTATCTCCTCTCTCTCTCTATCTACTCTCTCTCTCTCTCTCTCTCTCTCTCTCTTACTCCCTTCCTCCATTTCTCTCACCACTAGTATCCGTCTCTCTCTGTCTAACATAATCTAGACGCATATTAATTTATTAAAAGCGAACTGAACTCATTATTATTGAGGGGTGAGACAATAAAAAAAAGTACACGTTATTTTTTCAGATGTCTTTCAGTTTTATTTAAACTAAATT